ATTTTATTTTGATCGGTCTCCTCGACGCTCTTTCTCGTTTGGTGCGGTAGCTGGTCTTTCTTTCTATCATTTTGTTTCTCTTCCGAGTGGTTTTTGTACCCTATTTTTTTCTGTTTCTTCGTGGGGTCGTGTATGCCGGGTTTTGAGACCACGGGCTCCCAATCTTTCTTTTTTAGAGCTAATGTGAGAAACAACAACAACAAACAAACTTGCACCGCAAGTTCAATGACGTCACATGTATTCCTTTTCTTTTTGCATACCCTGTCTGGTTGGTACTTAATGCGGCACGTAGTGGTCGAATAGGTTCTCGCGCATCATGGAGCACGTTCCGGGCCTCGGAAGAGCGATGCACATTGGGCTCGGGGGATGTGCCACGCTGATAACTCAAATGAGCGCTGAGCTACGCGAGCTTGACAAGCTTGCACGTCAAGACGTGACCACATTCATGAAGGAGCGCGAGTTCACGGCCATGTTGGTGGCCATGATAGATCATTCTGTGTTAGTACAGGACCCGATCGTAGGATGCATGACGCTGTATCAAGAGTTGGCGGCTTCATTGGAGAAGAGCAGCGCAGTTGATTACGAGGCTCTGCGCAAAAGTTCAAGGAGGCACGGTTGCAGGCAGGGTTGACCAAGCAGCCCAATTGGGGCGGCTTGGGCGGCGGTAGCGGAGGCTTGATGGCAGGTAGCATACAACCACTTTCTTTGGCGCCGGCGTTCCATGCCGTAGCACCCGCTTTTCCCTTGTTTCCGCAACAGTACGCACAGAACAAGCACAGGGGTTTCGGAAGGAGCCGGGCACTACGGGCCGTCGCACAAAGGTCTAGCGGGCGTGGTCTCATTGGGAACCGTAGGGTTGGCCGAGTTGGTAAAGGAGCAGGGAGAGGCGGCGCCGACGTCTGTCTGTGTTAAATGCTCTCAGATGGGAAAGCCCGTTGACCATTCTTTCGGGACGTGCCCGGAGCAAACGTGTTTCAAGTGCGGCTTGTCGGGGCACGGCAAGCGTGAATGCCCGAATAAAGCACAAGGCATGACGTCGGCAGGTATAACGCCGAAGAAATGCAATGGTTGTGGTACATTACGACACGGGTTCTATGTTTCTTTGGCGTTTAAGAACAAAAATGAAAAATGAATGATGAGTCAATTGCGAGAATGAGAGAATGCATGCGGGAGCTGGCGAGCCACAAAGGCCCTCGTCGGCTTCACGTCGGGGGCAGGTGCGGAGATCCTCACCACACCACACGCAGCACGCAGGTCGTGCACGACGAGTTATACTTTGTACGCGTGCCCGGCACAGAGACACATCACGCAGTAATTCACGTAACAAAAAGCGTCAACATTCCTTTTCGTGCACACGATGTTTACGACAGTCCGTAGGCTTTCAGTGCTGGCATAGTGAATCTTGGACATGTCTGAATCTTGCCCTTGCTTGGCGTGGACTTTGGTCGACAAGGGGCACTTGGCTCGCTAGATGGTTAGTATTTCGCTACATGATCGAGCACGGTCAGGCGGACAAGAAAGCATGGCAAAACGACCTGACACGAAATATCCAGGTGGGCTTCCGGGCAAATGATTTTCTGCGAGAGCGAGCACGACGCGGAGCGAAAATTCGCACCGGTTCCGTCGGAGATGACGGAAATAGCGAGCGACACGTTCAGCGCCCAGATGTCGACCTTGTACAGGACGTTTTACAGCACGACCAACCTCCCGTCATGCAACAAGCCCCGGTATGGCGCCAAGAAGATTTCTCCCAGGATCCATCTCGTACCATATACAGTTTTTGAAGGACGAGATTTTGACAGTCTGCGACGACGAAGAGCGGGCTATGTACCTGAGATGGTTCCGAGGTGTGGATATCAGAGAATTTTTTGACCCGGATACGGAAGGGGTACTGTCAAGGACAGAGGTGCAAGGGTTCAGAGCTGACGCCACTGGAGCTCCCGAACCATGTGCCCGAGGCGTTCACAGGTTTCGTCAATGAGCCGGTGGAAAAGTACGTGCAGAGCCGAGTTGTAGCGTCATGGGAGGAAGTAGCCGACGTTTCACAACACCCCAAACCGCACATGGTGATGCCGCTAGGAGTGGAGGAGTCCAAACCACGAGCAATCTTCGACACATGTTGGCTCAACCTGATGGGTAGAAAAATTCCTTTCAAGATGGATGCGGTCGAAAAAGGTAGCACAATGCGCGTGGACATGAGCTTTCCAGATGACGTGCGACCACAAGTCGGGTGTTCACCATGTACCGTTGGCGAAGGAATCATGGCAGCACTTTGGCTTCAGGTGGGGTGGGAGATACTTCGTGTTTACGACCCTGTGCTTCGGGTGGTGCTCTTCGCCATACATTTACCGCTCTCTTTCGGCGGTGGTGTCGAGGTACTTTGCGGAAAAAAGGCATTCCAGTACTCACGTGGATCGATGATCTACTTCAAGAACTTCCGTTCCACTCGCGGATTGAAGCCGGTGCAGCAGAAGCAGGCAGCCAGCGTAGCAGGATATCTGGTCATGACCGTGTTCTACAACGCGGGATACTTGATGTCCATGCCAAATGTGAACGCGAAGCGACAAACAGACTGATCTATTTAGGAGTGGTGTGCGACTCGAAGAAGCAGGAGTTCTTCTTTCCGGAGGAAAAACTGGCGAAGTTGGAGACAATTCTCACCGAGGAGCTGACCCGAGGAGTTGTTTCGTTTCAGGCTTTGGAAAAGAGCGCAGGGAAGTGTGCAAGCATGTCAGTCGCGTATCCAGCGGCAGCTCTATCTACGCACCACGTGTACGAGCACATCGGAACGTTTCAGAGAAACGGAGGACGGAAGAGAACATGGACATTGACGTCCCCAAGAACGGTGGTTTGCGCTTTGAGATGGCGAAGTGGTTGGAGGTACGAGAGAAGATGAGCGGAGCTGAATGGTACGCGGCATGGCACCAGACACTAACGATAGTAGGGGCATCGGACTCATCGCCTCCCGGGTGGGGCGGTTTGATTCGATGTCCAGGCGAAGAAGTGTTCCGCGTAGCGGGTGATTTCCCAGACGATTGGACAACACAGCACATTAACGAGCAAGAAGCGTAAACGATTCAACAGCTTTTCGTCTTGTACTGTCAGCAAAGACCAATAAGGGTGCGAGGTTCGACGTTGGTCGTGGATGTGGACAATCAAGCTCTTTTCTACGCGTTGAGGAACGGGAAGTCTTCAAACACTCGTTCGCAAGAGATTGTGTAGAGTTGGTTTGACTATAAGTGCAGGCGGACTTCACCCTCAACGTACAGTGGGTGTGTTCGAAGGCGAACGCAGAGGCGGACGATTTGTCGCGTCCAGACGCAGATGCGTACNCGCAAGAGATTGTGTAGAGTTGGTTTGACTATAAGTGCAGGCGGACTTCACCCTCAACGTACAGTGGGTGTGTTCGAAGGCGAACGCAGAGGCGGACGATTTGTCGCGTCCAGACGCAGATGCGTACGACCGGTTGGAGGAAGAAAAAATTGCACAAGTGTGGCGGTGAGTTGGTAGACCTTTCGAAAAGGATTTGATGACCACGGCGGCATCGGCACAAAGCATACCCGCAAGCGAAAGGCGGT